CTGTTAGTCCGGCCGGGTACAGGAGACAGATGCTCCCTGTACCCGCCGACTATACTGGGCTCGGCCACGCTATATAGAGGAAGCTGACAGGAGGGAGCGCTCAGCGCTTCCCTCCTGTCAGCCCCCTCTCCTCAGGCTGCGCCCGGGCGGTGCGGTCCGCCCTCATGGACGCACCGCCCGGGCAAAGCTGCAGCCGCCCGAGGCTCTTTACAGAGCGCTCGGGCGGCTGCAGCATGGGGGGGGGCGGCGGAGCTGGTCTGGCACCCCCCACCCGGCTGGCACCCGGGGCGGACCGCCCCCCCCGCAGTACGCCACTGACTACAGCTTAATGTAAGATATACGGCTTAATGGAGTTGTTCTGGTGAGTGTAATAGCTCCATTCAGGCATTTTTATGTAAACACTGCCTTTTCAAAGAAAAGGCATTGTTTACATTGCCCCTAGGGACACCTCCAAGTGGCCACTCCTCAGATGGACACTGGAGGTGCTTCCTGGGGCAGTGCTGCACAGCATCCCCACACTCTGCATGGAGACGCTGAATTTTCCTCAGAGATACATTGATTCAATGCATCTCTATGAGGAGGTCCTGATTGGCCAAAACGGCACTTGGCCTTGTCCTCGTGCCAATTTTAGCCAATCCAATGCTTTCACCATGTGAATCAGTAATTCTGATGATGTCACTAAGGGGACGGGTCACACGGCGCTGGAAATAAGGTGAGTTTTAACCCATTCTGAGGGGGATAAGGGGGTGGTAAAGGCACCTAAATGGCGGTTTTTCACTATAGGGTCAGGGATACATGTTTGTGCTCCTTTAAATGTATTATTGAAGGATAAAGCTATATTGCAGTGTCTTATTAAATCTATAGTATGTGTAGATATGGTAATTACAAACGGTTCATGTCGGGTAATAAACTATTTAATGATCCAGAAATTGAACATTCTTAAAGAGGCACAGTCACTTAGAAGCATCACAAAGTCCTACTTACCTTAATCTGGCCGCCATTCTTTAACTCCTGGTGACTTACTCTGTCAGGAGCCGTCCTCAGAAAACCCAGTCTATGGCAGAATGGCAAACGCGCAAAGTGATGGTTATTCCCATCATCCATTGTGGCTGATGGGAAATGGCAGCAGAAACTCTCCAATTACATGATACAAGTAGTCACAACTTGTCTTGAGAATCTATTTTAATTGCATTCGTGTTTCCAAAAAAGTCCAACACCTTTAAAAACACATTTGTCATGAAACTTTATCTTTACAAAAAGCTGAAAGGTGTCAGGGAAACTTTAACTCTGAATCTCTTATTTGTATGTTTGGCACAATGAATAAACGACATTAAACTTGCCATTTGTTTGCGCATCCTTTTGAAGGTGTGATGTACCCTGTCCTTTATCAATCTCTCCCTCAAATCAGTTACGCTCCAATTTACCTACAATTCACTAAATACCACATTCTGAAATGACCGTATTACACAGGGCCACGCGGTCGGTCATGTACGAGCAACAGACACCGTGGAAGATGTGAGGTTTCATGGTGGAATAAGGAACACAAGCGATCTCTGTTTTACCAAGAAATGGGATAATGCTTATTCCAGTGCCACCAAGTCACGCATGGTACGACAGGCACATTTTTAACTGGGAAATCCCAGTGGGACCAGTGTGGGGGCTGGGTTTCTTACATTGCAGCCAGGACAAAGCTGAAAATTCTGTAAAATAAGATCAATGTTACCCCCTGGCTACAGGCAGACACAGCACAGACTAATCAGATCTGGCAACGGGGCTCCCAGTCCTCTTTATTACAAACAGCATGTCCGATCTTACACTCAAAACAGGAATCTCTGTTTATACAAGAGAGCACACAATATATACAATATATAGTATACACACACAATCTATCCATTCTATACACT